TGGACCAACACCTACGACGGAATTGACTATTGCGCCGAACATGTCGCACAGGAGATCGATCTGAGGAGGGCCGAATTGGAGTTGGATGGAAAAGTGCTGACTAAGTTTAGCTGCATCGGCGTGAGCATACAATATAAACAAACTACCGTGTCCATCTTTGATTAATGAATGTCTGTCCTGAACTCTGGCTTTATTTTTGTTTCGTCAACCTGCTTCTTTTAGTATTCCTTGGGTGGTCTCATTGCAAGGTTTCTGGTTGGACTACTGCATTCAAGACAGCCATCTTTCTTTGAAGAAGTGGAGCCAATGAACTTCAATACATTTGCTTCACCATGGATAGGGATGCCCAAGTACAAGGGGATCCTAAGCTCGACGATCCACTTCTTCGGCTCGAGATTGTTGAGCAGGACTGGCAACCAACTCTATCTGACTGACAAATATCACCAATTGCCAGCAAGTTCATCTGCCAATCCCACCGACAAACCTAGCAAGAAGAAGTTCCCATTGTTGAGCTTTCTGGCCCATCCAGAGACCAACTTTTATAAGGCCTTGGTCAATTTCAAGGTCGTCAGAATCTATGCCAACGCCATCAACGATCGCACTGTTCCTTTTGTCACTGGGGCCATGGAGAAATTTGATCTCTTTCAAATCGCTCACCAAATCTCAAAAAAGTCTAAGATCATGAGCCAAAGTAGCTCGGATTTAACTGAATCAGAAGTCTTAGAACTCGGGGGTCTGGAACTGTCAGTCGAATACCCCGTTGATCTTCATTTCTCACTTTTTTTTTTTCTTTTCCTTGTTTCGTACAATAAGCACTGATTTGATCTGCTTTGTGTGGCGTAGTACCCTCAATCCAGACTGTCCCTCCCTGATTGAGAAAGTGCAGCTGGTAAAACTCGGACCTCAATCTGAGAAACGGAAGAGAGCAGAGCCCATGGAAGGGACCAAGAAGACGAACCAAGAGAAAGTGAAAAGAAGTTTACCGAAGCTGCCGTTCTTCCTCAAGCCGTCCACATATCCGTACCGGGCGCCACTGAACTATCTGGCGGCAGGCCTCTCGCCGGTGATTGCGCCGATCTTCCTGACCTACATCTTGTGTTCGTTCTGTTACCAATCCATCCAGTCCCGCCAACGGATCAAGAAGTACAACGTCGGTGAGCTCGAGAACCATTTCTCCCGGCTCAGACGGGTCGGCCTACTCCAGGAGCTCCGCCAAGACCTAATCGAGGATCTCGCCGGGATCGGAAACGAGCCTTCTCTGGAAGCCGATCCGGCCGACGAACAGACCACCCTTCCCAGCACAAACCGGGCCGGTCCGTCTATCCACCCGAACTCCGCGGAAACACAGCAGTTGATCCATCTCGAGACTCCAACGTCTGCTCTACATCCTCCCGACCAACCCAACTCGGTCGATCAGCCTAGTAAGAGCCATCAAACCCAGGGCACCCAATACCTCACTTCTCTATCCTCCGACGCCATCAAATCAATAACAAACGACCTCGGTCTTTCGCCCCTTCAAATCGACATGTTGGATCGTCTGAATCAACTACCCAACTTGGCTAAATACTTCAGCTTCTTAGATGGCATCCCCAATTCTCATGGTAAGCTCTCCTTCCTTTGTCTTGTGGATACATCCACCTCCTCAAACCTATCAAAATCAGTACACGATTCCCTTTCGAATCCGCACTAGATTTCCTGGATGAGAAGAAAAACGATTGTCATGTTCTTTCATGCTGATCAATTTCATCATCATCTTTTTTTTTTTTGAAAAACAAAAACATTATCATCTTCTTCTTCAGGGGCGATAATTTACCGGGTGGATGGGCTAAGTGATCGGCGCGGAAAAAGGATTGTATCTCATTGGGCCGAGCGGTTTGTTTTGTGATTCCGACTTCAAATCCAAATTGCTCGGAAAGCGTCAATAAGCATCAATATAAGGACCCCCTGGATCATTGTTTATTTTTTTCCTCTTCTTGGCATCCTTCTCAACTCTCATAGAAATAACGGATCCTATCCCAGTGCATGTTCTGCTCGAGAGTCATAGTTTCATTTCCCTCCTATTGTACTATGTAAATTTTCAAGGATTTCTTTTTTTTTGGTTTCCTCCGGTTTTGGATCCTGGTGCCATTGTGTTTTGTTTATAAGTATTTGTAGAGAAAAATTAGATTTCATTTTGGTTTGTAAGATTCTCTGATACATTAGAATGTAGACATATGTATATTACAACATCAATGAGAACAATGAATGAAAACGTTCAATGTTCAGCTCAAGAATGTTGAGCAAATGTCAATCTATCAAAGGTTGAATCCCAGCCTCTCAGTCATATTATAAAAATGTGCCATGTTTCCAAGGGCCTCTTTGGTATCTAATTTTGAGGATGAATGCTTCTGGCACGCTTGAAGGAGTTTGAGGAATTTGACGATAAATTTGCGTGGTTTAACTTGAGGACCAAATGATCAATGTTCTGGGGAATCATTTTGATCATGAGTTCTGGATAGAGTCTAAGGGCCTGTACCATAGGGTTGGATTTTGAAAAACAGGCATGTTTTCCTTCTTCTACACCAAAAGTGGGAACAATTGGAGAGATCTGGTGTTGAAATTTTTCACTTTCAGGCCAAAGACTAGCTTTTAGCCGCCATGGTCACTTTTGATAACATGAAATTTTAAGCAAGATGAATTTTGAGAAATTGACTTTTCATCTCATATGGTACAGTCCCTAATACTAATAGTGGCCTTTCAGAAATCTCACTACATATCCAGCTCAACTCTACCTCAGCCGCCTGTAGCACACAAAGGAGCCATTGTACTTGGGTCATGTCAGCCTTAGAGCCAGCCAAGCTGGCCAAAAGACTGCCAAAACTGCTCATTTCTATTCCAAACATTATCTTATCTTTTTTGTCTTAAGAATTTTTACCTTTTTGACTTCAGAAATGGATTCCTGGTGTAAGATTAACCCTAGTCACCACTGATCACTTTTACTCAGCTCCATTCCTTCATTGACTTTGTAATAATTCACAGTACTCCAAGAATTATTCCAGCCTTTAGGTTTCAGCTCCCTCTACCACGGCCAGATTACATAATCCAACTTTGAAAATCCTCTCTGAGCTTGTTGATTCCGCTTCCAGAGGATTTTCAGACTCCAGACCAACACAGAACACCAACACCCAGAACCAGATCAAGCCATCACTTATCAACCAGAAGGACTCCACTTTTCCCACCTTTCCCACTACTCAGTGTCATTGGTGTCATTAGTAAGTAACTTCTCATAAGTTTTAGCTAGCATCTTTCTGCTTGTTTCTTCTCTCTGTCTCTCTCAACCTTTTCACTTCTTCTCCAAACCAAAGCCCTGATCAAAGAAAGCAAGCCATAGCTGCTATTACCTCAACTCCTCCTGTTTGGTAGTATAACTGAAAACTACATAGGTTTCCCTTTAAAGAGCCTTGATCCTAGATCTAAAAAATTTTGGATTGATCTGATTCATCAGTTCAATATCCCATTTCAGTTTCTGTTGATTTGGAGGCGTCAGAGTTAGCTCCGCTTATAACCAGCCATCCTTCGAGGAAAGTAAGACTGCTCAACTTAATTCTTCATCATAAAATAAATAAAGAACAAAAATATTATCTCTTTCCCTCAATCTTCTTCTCCCCTTTCTTCTAATTTTATTGTGTTGCTCTTCTCTTAGGAAATACATATAAAAGTGCCCCCCCAAAACCTTGTGTCCTGCTGTCACTATAGAGACCCAGGCTCACAGGTCACAACAGCTCTGGAGCTACATGGGAGCAGCAATCAATGTTACCTGATTTCACCTGACATCCAGTGAGCATACTTTTTCCTGGTGAAATAGTTAGGGAAGCAAATCTTAGTATTCTTTGAAATTTTAAAGATGGGTGACAACAAATAGTCTGACTCTTCAAAAGTGTGGTAGCCTCAATTTCTAAAAATTGTGAATCTGTTTCATAGAGGAGGCTGTAGGCACAATTTAGTGGATAGGAATTGCCACCAATGGGAAAACTCATTAAGATGGCAAAAAAGAAAGAAGTTTTTTGATGAGAAACAAAATGAAAAAATGTGGAGGACTCCCACCATCAGGGGTGGGATTATGTGATGCAGGGCTCAACAACCTGGCTCCAAGCTAGTTGAATCCTTGCTGTTGAGCTTTCAAAGCTTATGCATAAGGAGAAAAACGTTTGACCAGGAAGGAATCTTTGAAGAAGAGTTGTTTTGCAGACATGGACAACCTTTTCTAAAATAGCTATAATTTTGATGTCGGTTGATGATTCAAAATCAAGAAAAATGCTCTGGAAGAGAACAGAAATGTTTCAATTAATTATAAGGACAAAAGTTGGAAAAAGAAAACACTATGGATTGAATGTAGATACAAGAAACGGAAAAACTCAATGTCATGTCCAGCAACATTTTCAATAAATTTATCATTCATCTTGGAATTTCATGTTTGTATCATAAAAATGTATCATATTTT